GCAAAAAGGAGATTATCCACAGACCCAACACTCAACGATATTGCTGACATGAGAGACGCAAAAAGGAGATTATCCACAGAAGAGCAGCTCAGCAAAGTTCTCAAACCAGACGTCCCGGCTATAGGGGAGGTCACCTGTCCTTATTGCTTCTATACGCTTTCTCTCGAAGAGGTATTCAATGAGAAAAAATGGCAGTGAGTCGATATCTCTATTGGCTTGTATGAACGTACAGCCTTGCCATCACAAGGCAATACTAACTAGCTCTCAAGCAACCATGTAAAAAATGACCTGGACCCATATGTATGCCTTTTTGAAGAATGCAGTGAACCAGATGAGCTTTACAAGCATAGCGAAAAATGGCTCAGTCATATGCATCAGCACATTCAACGTTGGCGCTGCCCATCCCACCGTGAATTGGGCCTGTTTCAAACATGTGAGGAGTACATGCAACATGTGCGAGACGTTCACGACACCAAACTCAACGACAGCAAACTTCGCGCCCTGGCAAACAGAAACGCTCGAAGCTTACCAAAACTATTCATGTCATGCCCTCTGTGCGGTAAAGATGAGTCTGAAATCGGTACCCGTTTAACGGATCACATAACCGGCCATTTGAGATCACTTGCCATCATGTCACTTCTAATCCACTACGATGAGGATATTCCAGGCGACGTTGGAAGTGACGGAAATAGCTCCAGCAATTCACAGCCGCGAAGTAGAAGCACGATTAATCTTTTAGATGATGAGGACATTGTTGTAATCCGGTCGGCTATTGATGGGAACTTGGATGATATGGCTGAGCCATCAACCGCAGTCGATGCTGCTACTAGCGACGAAGAAGACTCTGTGGATATGCTCTTCCAGGGAGACAATACCCACAGTGACTTGGATCGACATCCAGAGCACGTCAGGGCTGAGAAAGCAGAGACAATCTCCCCAGAACTCAATAATGAACAAAACGATATATCAAGTAACATTCCGCTTGAAGATGGGACCAACTCCGGGCTTGACATGGATTCTGATGACACGGACATGGAGGACCCCCAACTAGAACAGACACAAGCTCCGCAGGAGCATAGTGATGAGGTCGCGGCACCGCCACAGCCAGCCCAGCAGCCAATCCAGAGGATGGGACCCAAGTTCAACAAATTTGCGCCGTTTACACCTCAGCAGGAAGCATCCTTAACTCCCGAACAAAGAGCCAGATATAAACAGATCCTGAAGAATCACGGCATAATACCAGCCGCAAGTGCAGAAGCTGCTAGCAATTTCCTTAACCGCCTTAAGTTTATTGGGCAAGAAGAGCAGAGACAATTTAGCCAAGAACAGATGGTAGATATTCCAATGGGCCCCGAAGAATATGCAAAAACTGCACACAAGCTACAGCAAATTGTCTCGGATATGAGTAAGGTCGGACGCGGATTAAGTAAATGGTACGCTATTACACAAGATGATGCGCGTGCTAAGATATTCTTTAGAACTGTAAGTCAATTGCTAAGAATATACTAGGATTAATATTAACTTAGATTATAGCGACTGCGTATTATTAAGCAACACGTCGATGGTGAACAGATGGAGGCAATGAAGGATGTCTTTAGCATCCGCTCCTCCGATCTGGATCAAGCTCGCGTTTTGCTCGAGAGTATGGCCAATGACTTGGCGGCCAGTATGATAGGCCGGCAGAATCCGGCAGATAAGGTCCCAGCAAGCTGAGGCAGCGCACATCCAGGCCAACCAGGAACAGCTAATGCAGGCGCCTCGTGCAAAACCGAAACAAAAGCCGGCCACAACATAAATCTCAACGAGAGGCTCATTCCGTCCCTATACACCAGACTGAAAAAGTCGCGGCTGAGCACAGGAAGCACACGAGCAAATTCGAGGACGGCGCTTCCAAGAGCTAAACTCTTGTGGTGTTTCTGGAAGTGAGTGTATGTGCGTATTAGAGACTGCATTTTGGGATGAGGTATAAGGCTAATTGGATATATGGATCTGGAAAGGGAAGTGATTGAAGAATCTGGATGGTCTTAGGTACGAATTCAGTAGGCACGCAAATCCCCCAGTCCTATATTTCCTGTTAAAGTGACCTTGCTTGAAGAGCTATGGTCTAACATATACGTTTTCTTCACGTTACACGATAAAATTGAAGAGCAGAAACTCTGGCACAGTAGCGTGTGATACTGCTAGGCTTGAAGATTTGCGTGACAACAAGCGTATCTTCAACTCCGTGTTTGTAGTTTGTGGAGTCTATGCCAAAGAGTAGGTCAAGTTTCTCACCGGACTTGAAATTCTCGCTGGACTGTACACTGTTGGTGCTGGTGGGCATTTTCTGCTTCTCTGTGTTTTTTAACATTGGTCTATCGATATATATTTGGGAAGGTTCATTGAATTGTTGTGAATTTGCGATGAGAAGGTAAATTAGGCTGTGTTAGAAGGTAACAATGAGAGAACACAGGCAGCAGTCGCATTGCGAGGTTGTTCTGAAGGGGTCGGAAAGGGATTTGGTGTTGACTTACCGCAAGTTTACAATTTCTCAGCCGCTTCGGTATTAAAACATATCAGTATAGCATTGTTCAAGTGTTGCCCTCGTCCAACATCTTGGGGGTTTATACTGCAGCTACGGCTTGAGAACGGGAACATAATGGTCTTGGCTTGCGACAATCGATTACTCCGTAAACAAGCTCGTAATAAGTGTGTCGAATCATGTTGCTCTGCCAACCGATTTACATCACATGATCTTCTGTAGGACAGAATAAGCTTGCACGATAAACGAAGAGAGTTAATGTTTGGCAATTATTCACCACTTCTCTCCGGGAAAATGTCACGACTACTAAAGACTTTAATACGACAAATACGCCAGCCACAAATTCGGATACAGATTTTGTCCGATCTGCATCTCGAGGTAGGCCAACAGTACACGTCATATACCTTCCCGGTGACAGCACCATTTCTTCTACTGGCTGGTGACATCGGGAGACTGATTGACTACGACAACTACGTAGCGTTCCTTGAAATACAAGCCTGTCGATATAAAAAGGTGTTTCTAGTGTTGGGGAACCACGAGTTTTATGAACTCGACTATGATTCAGGACTGGACATGGCGCAGCGCCTCTCAGAAGAGCCTTTTCTCAAAGACTCTATTATACTTTTGAACAAATCTCGCTGGGATGACCCAGATTCCAATCTCACGATTCTGGGCTGCACGCTTTGGTCAGCTATACCGGAAGACGCTGCTACCATGATTGAAACAAAAATTAACGACTTTAAAAAAAATAATCGGATGGACTACGGTGAAACATAATCAGATTCACACCGAGGAAGCTGAATGGCTTCGCAAAGAAGTAGCGCAATTAGCAACACAGGACCAAGATAATTCCACGCAAATTATCATCGCGACGCACCACGCGCCATGTTTACAAGGCACGTCCAAGCCGGCGGATACCAATAGCCCATGGACACCAGCATTTGCGACTGATCTTGTAACCGAGGGAAACTGGGGTAACGTCACTTGCTGGATCTTCGGCCATACGCACTATTCTACGGATTTCCAGTGTAACGGTATTAGACTGTTGGCAAACCAGCGGGGATATACATTTCGAAACGAAAAGGCGAAGAGCAAGACTAAGAAAAACCCGCATGTGTTTGATCCTGCTATGGTTATCAAGTTGTAAAGGCAACCTTGAACTGTCTTCTTCGTATAAGCACGAGCTCAATATTCATTTTATTTGTCAAAACAGGTTGAAGATGACCTCCTAAGCATAGCGCTCTTAGAAATGTAATTTCTTGGCCCATACTCTGACTAAAAGGTAGGTTCATGAGGAATACATCAGTCACTTGGGTATCTATTCATTAGCTACAGCTGGGAGTCATCAACAAATCATTGATTACATGTCTATAATTAACCCTCGGTCAAGAGTATTACACCGTCCTCAAACTCGGTGAACATGAGAAAGCCCCATGTAGATCTGAGCTGTTTATAAATGTTGTTTACTAACACTTGAATAATTCCATACAACTCCCAAACAAAGTTCCGCAAAACATCCGCAAAAGTCCGCTCTCCATCGTAGCTTTTCGGTGATTAGCGGACAATACGCCCTGTGCATACGAGTATACAAGGCCTGATCCGTGTGTTTCTCGATTTGGGCAATGGTGGACACCATTTTGGTGCAGCTACCGGCATGGCGTAATTATCACTAATGTGCTCCTCAATCCGGCAATCCTCCAGCTACGGAACTTGCCGCCTCTCGGCTTAGATAAGCGTCAAGCCGCATCAGATATAAATGCTTTGCCAGAGCCGCTGGTTTTCGAGTGTCAATTCGATCTATGTACTCAATTGATCAATTTGAGAAAGAAATTACGCTTGGATCACCATGTCTCCCCATATCCCAATCGCCCATGGCCACAACATCCAAGCCTACACATACTGGGACTCTCCCGTGCCAGCCGTTTTCGCTGGACAAAACTTTACAGATCCCGTCATCTTCAACCCTACTACATTCACCTTAATCACTACACAGAACGAAGCCGTGCTCGTTGATGCCCCTGCAGTTAGGTCTCGAGCCGAGCCAGTTGCGACTTGGATTGCTGAAATCATCGAACACCGAAAGTTGAGCACCATTTACATTACTCACGGCCATGGCGATCACTTTTTCGCCGCTGAAGCTCTCCAGGAGCACTTTCCAGATGCCTCCATCCGCGCAACTCAGGGCACTTATGAGCACATGCTGGAACAGCTTGCTCCAGAATTCTGGGATGGCTTGTGGGTTCCTACATTTCCTGAGCTGGGAGAAAGCCCGAAGCCCAACCCCAAAGTCCATGTCCTCCCAGAAGGACAAGATTGCTTTACAGTAGATGCCCACGAGTTCCGCGCTGTTGAAGTTGTTGGTGGTGACACTGCTTCATCAACCGTTCTTCATGTACCCTCTCTAGAGCTGGTTGTTGGAGGAGACGTTGTTTACGGAAATATTTATCAATACCTCGCTGAAAACACAACGCCTGAGCTCCGTCAGAACTGGATAGATGCCATTGACCAGATAGCCAAGCTGCATCCCAAGGTTGTCGTGCCCTCTCACCGTCAATCCACGGACGACTTTGGGCTGGAGCACTTGAAGGCCACCCAGGATTACATCCGAACGTGGACAAAGCTTAATGCAGAGACCACCACTTGGCAGGAGTTGGAGGCGGCTGTCCAGAAGGCATACCCCAAGAGATATGGAAACTACATTCTTCGTATTTCGGAGCTGGTGACCAAGGGAGACTTGCAACTCCCATAAGCTCTTGATGCACCGCATGTTACTTATATGCACTCCGATTCTCATTCTATTTGTGCTCGGTCAAGGCGGTATAATGGTACTAGGATTCAGCTAGAAATAGAAGAGTGAGATAATAAATACAACGCGTTTAGTCAACCCTGGCAAATGATTCTTTTCCGAGCCCTTGCAAAAATAACCCACCGCCCATCCTCTTGACTAATGCATCGCAGCTCTGTAGAGTCGTACGCAGTTGCCAGCCAATGGACTGAAACGATCTAGAGACAACCCAAACTCAATCCCAAACTTTATCTCAACATCACATCTATGTTTTAGTGGGTTTCTACAGGCAGCGCAAGCTTCATGACTAATGATCATAGTTTGCTTCAATTTGTTAGCTAAAAATAACTTACACTGGGCTACTTAGTAAGCACGTAAGCTGGGAGTGAGGATGAGAGAGATTCACATTGAGACAAGCATGACGCGGGGAAGGCAATTCTTCTTTGAACCTCTCACAAACTGCGCTTAGATCTTTTCGGAATATTCTCTTTGTGGTAAGCTATTCACAACTATCGCAGAGATTCGCATACAAATAGAAGGGGTAGCTTCCCAGCACAACTCTAAAGAGAGCATCCATTCAATTTAGCCCAAGGCGACAACTCAACAACTCAACATAAAGAATACTCCGATCCAACTCCCTACTGCCAACCAATAGAGTCACAATGTCCACTGTCACCCCCCTCTCCAGCAAAGAGTCTTTCGCCGCTGCACTCGAAGCAGCCTTCAATAGCCCCGACGCCTCACTCGAAGAAATGATCCTCAACATTTACGTCAAAGAAGCCGTCATCACCGTGAACATGAACCGGATGACATGGGAAGAATTCATCCCGTACATAAAAGCCATCCGCGCTAGGACAACTTCGGTTGACATCAAATCGCATTATCTTCTACGAGACGGAAACCTGTTTTCTGAAAGACACTCTGCCTATGGACACGGAAAAGATGGGACGGAGACTAATGCGGAGGCGATGCTTATGGGCGAGGTGAATGAAGAAGGCAAGGTGATTTGGTTGGAGGAGATTGCCATTCTCAATTCGGATGCGGGCTCGGCTGCCTCAAAATCTACATAGTTGCCGGAGGAGAATATGTCTCGAGGTATACTGGGTAGATTAAGATGAACGTTGTGGAAAATTGTTGAGAGTTGAGGTGGAATTCGTTGCCAAATATCATCTATAACTGAACTCACCAATATTCTGCATTTGAGCAAGGGTCCTCGTTAAATCTCAACCCCTTTTAGAAATACCGGTAAAGCCAGTAGATGGTTTGTGCGCTTCGATGAACCAGATATACGAGTCATGAGATCAGATTTGAGCACCACCAGGGCTTGACTTTCCCAGATAAGCACCGGATCCCCTGCATTCCCAACAGATCTAAATATCCGAAAGAAGCCATCCATTCAACACCCGACGCTTTTACTACATTTCGACCACAACAACTTCATAAACCTAGCCTGTTCTGTACACGGCAGGGTGGTAATACTCCGCGATCCGATGTTGCTTGGCAAATCCTTCCGTTAGGCTTTAAAAGAAGATGATTACCATTCATATCTTAATGATCTCCCTCTAGATCATAGGTAGATCAGATTTGCCAAGCTTCAACGAACCAGGTAGTTGTCATGATCGCCTTGACCAGGGAACTAACGCCACTCCAGTGAAGAGCATTGCGAACTATCTTCCGAGTCAACTCGGCATGGAACTGCACTCTTTTATAATAAAACATGAGTGTTAGTCGTTTTCACGGGGTTTACCTAAGTAGACTAGTCTCCGGCAACAATATAGTGACATGTTACGTTGTATGATCGCCCCCTAGCAGAACCGAAATCCCGAACGGGGCCGCTGTCAGTTAATACCGATCTACTATATCAACACCCACAACAGCGCCCGTCTTTAACCCCGACTATCCTGAGCTATAGTCCCATCAACCTATCCTAACGCCTATATGATCCGATTTCCAGCTACGAGTGGCTCTCGTTCTTACGGAGCTTCCTGTTTCACGTTGGCAACTAGTCAGCTCTAGCGGGCAAACCCGACAAAACATTTACTCCACATACAATGGAAACCCGCTCACTGTGTCTTATTCCTGACTGTAAGCTGCCTGTTTGAAGTATTGTTTAGTTATCCTGACCGCTACTATGGGATGGTACGATGCGGAAACCTCGGTTTGAGAAGGGGCCTTGGTTGTGTGCATGGTAAGACAAATAAAGTACGTCTTTAAGCGGAAGTCGCTCTACGTGGAGTTGATTGCGTCAATATACCGAATCAATTAAATCAGCAATTCTGAATCCTCCAATTTGGCCAGATAGACTTCCTAAATACTAAATACTCGATACTTTGGACAGCACCCGTCGGAATTGTGGCGTTATAAGCTTAATCATGTAACTGAAACCTCTTCATCCAACGGAAAAGCACACCAAAGACACTCCCGCCGGCACTCTACATCCGATTACATATAAACGACATGTTACACGCATATGATTGCCCCCAGGATAGGCATACACCAATCTCCTTTTCGAGACAACAAGTAAGAAAAGTAATGCCGACATCCACCGAGAACGTGGTCGAATGTGTGTGGTTTTGTCCGAGCATTTGCATTTTGTTTCTCCCCCCTTGTGTCGGTTTACAGGGGTTATCCGGGTGGTTGCATCGGGCCTTTTTCTCTCGCATCGTTGGTGCCGCGCTATCCTGACGACGCCCAAACAACGGCGCTCACCGGCACTTTTAAGCATCAGATTACTCATTACGATATACTCCGTACGAAGGGAATTGCCAATGGAGATAATTAAGACTCGCCCCCAGACTCAAATGCCGAAGCTGGAGCCGTGAGTGTCTGCCGGTTCTTTATTCGTTTGTTAAAAAGGATTGTCTTGTGTGAAATCTTGTCAAGGGACAGCTCTTGCAATGCGTGCTACTTTGTCTGGATTGTTGCTGGCTGCAGCGGCCTCAACGGCAGCAGCTCACGGCCATGATGGACACGCAAAGGTTCATCAAGAGTATGCCAGAGCAGCGGCAGTCGATACATCGACGTTGAAGGGCAAGTGGCTGTACGGCTACCAGGGCTGGTTCCGCAAGCCAGCATCTGGCGTCAACAACCACTGGTCTCCCAACGGTGGAACTCCAGGACCCGGCAATGGTATGATTGACTTGCTCTTTTAAACAATGGTTGAATCAGTCGTTGTTTAGGTTGAAGAATTGTTGCTGACACGAGTGATTCTAGTTGAATTCGAGTTTGTGCCCGATGTCAGCCAGTATCCGGCCAACTGCCTCTTCACGTCAACTTTGACAGCACCCAACGGCCAACCAGTGCAACTCTACGACAACACGTGCGAGGGAGTTGTCGACTTGCACTTCAAGTGGATGCAGCAGTACGGAATTGACGGAATCATTGTACAGCGATTCCTCAGCCATCTCACCGATGCCTCTTTCATCACAGTCAGTCTTTGCCCCCATTTACACCGAATTGCAAAAGACACAAGACTCCAGCAAAAACTAACACATTCCCCAACCCCCAGATCCTCAACCAAGTCGAAGCCGCCGCCGTCAAATACGGCCGAGGCTTCATCGTCGAATACGACGCCTCAGGCGGAAACTCCGCCTCCGCCAGCGTCGCCTCCCAGATCCTCGCCGACTACAACTCCAAGATCAAGCCCTACACCACCTCGTCCGCCTACATCCACCACAACGGCAAGCCCGCCGTTATGGTGTTTGGCGTGGGCTTCCCCACCGTCGCCATCAACGTCACCGACGGAGCAAACATTGCCACCCAGCTCAAGAACGCCGGCGTGTATGTTGGATTCGGCGTGCCCGCCAACTTTGGCACGGATGTCAGGGCGAACACGGGTTTTGCGTCGGCGTACAAGGCGGCCAACTTGATTAGCCCTTGGACTGTGGGAAGTTTCAGCAACGGTGGTTACTTGAAGGGATACCACACGACGACTCAGATTCCCGACTCTCAGTAAGTGTTGTCTTGTTCTTTGCCGTTTCTTTACTTCATCCGTTGTCTTCTACTCTCAAACCTTCTAACTCAATCTTCCTCCTTTAGAACCCTCCAATCCCTCGGCATCGACCACGCCCCCCTCATCTGGCCCGGCACCTCAGCCTACCACCTCAACGGCGTCAACACCCCCGCAAACTTCGACTACTTCCCCCGCTTCAACGGCTCCTTTTACTCGATGCAAGCCGACGCAATCACTGGCCTGGCAGTCAAGCCCCTGTTTGCGTTCAACGCCATGTTTGACGAAATCAACGAAGGTGAGCCCCATCATCCCAAGCATCATCTCCATATCTACATCCTATCTTCAGCTTCTAACGTGTGTGTGTTATCCAAATAGGTACCCAGAGCCTGCCGTGCTTGAAAAACAACCAGCTCCCTACCAACGAAAAATTCGTGGGCTACGACAACACCTTTGCCGACACTGCCTTTTACCTCGAGCTCGGCGGACAAAAGGCTGCTGCGTTTGCGGCTGCTGTCAAATAAACGTCGATGAAATGTGTATATACCCAAAGACTCAAACTCGAGTTATTGTATATATTCGTATCCATACATATATATCAATGTGTAATGATTCAACGTTCAGAAGTAAAATAGTCATTTCTATTCTTAAATTATCCCCTCATTGATGAAGATGAACCGTGCATCTCACATCTTTCTCCCTTCAATCTCCAAACCATTACAGCAAAACACATTATAAAAATTGTCGAATGTATAAATGAAAAGAAAAAAGATCGCTAGTGCTTATTCAAAATCGTGTTGCTCTAATAAAGAGAGATCTTTACACAAGAGAGGTATATGTATATATAAACAAAAAAAAAAAAGAAACCACATAAAAAAAAATGATAATAAGAGCTGGTTCGTTACACAGAGTGTCCTCTTATTGACGCCCCTCAGCGCCGTTCCCCAAGAGTCACCTGCGCTCCACGGTCTCCGCGGGAAGTTCATAACTAAAATTCGTCGGCGGCAACTCATAAATCGTCGGCGGCTGCTCCATCTCCACCAGCGGCGAGACCATGTTGGCCGGGTGCATGTTCATGTCGGGCGTGGCCTTTTTCACGGCGTCCGGTGAGTCGTACGGCGTCTGCGGGGTGTATGCCGGTGCTACGCTTCCGTCAGCCATGTAATACAAAGCCTGCTCGCTGGGAGAGTGGTATTGACCCAAGTTGATGGGCGGTTGCTCCTTGTCCGCCTCGGCGGCGATGGCGGCCGCTCGCTGTTTTCTGCGGCGGAGGAAGAAGAGGAGGCCGAGCAGACCGACGCCGATGGCTCCAACGCTGACACCGATGCCGATGCCGGCCTTGGCTCCCCCGGAAAGTCCGGAGCTGGGTGCCTTGCTGTTGTCGGATCCGGATCCGGAACCGCCGCCGTCGCTGCCGGAACCGCCTCCAGTAGAACCGGTCGAGGTTGGTAGCACCGTGTGGTTGCTCCATGTGCCGTCGGAGCCTCGGTAGGCCTGAATGAGGCTGCTGTTTGAAACGTAGTAAACCCAAGCCTCGCTGGTGGCCTGGTTGTAGGTGACGGCCAGCTCGGCGTTTGCGTCGTCAGCCAAGGGCCACGCTGCTGTGGTTTGGTTGGGCATGTTTTGCCAGATAAAGTTGATACTGGCAACCTCGTAGAGCCTCCTGTCGCTGCCGATATAAAAGGCAGTGCGAGTGTTGGATTTGTCGACGGCGGCGCCCATACCTCCAGGCTTGCCATTCCAGGCGGGAAGAGAGAACTTGGGCTTCACATCGGGGTCAATGCCGATCTTGGCGGGCGCCGTTTTGTTTGTCGGAGAATTCTCAATTGCCTCTGGGAACGCGGCTACAAGGGGGGGTCAGCGTGGGAACCAGGAATAAACGCTTTGTTTGTAAAGCATGGAAAACAATGAAAACAAAACTGAAACAAGCAAGACAAGACATACAAATGTGCCAGGTGCCATCGGTGTTGTACCGTGAGACTTCGACATCCTTGTCGTTCTTGGGGGAGATGACGGTGATGTTGTTGGTGCCGGAATGCAGCGAGGCCAGCGCCTGGCTAAACGTGGGGTCCTGCGACACGGCGCCGTAGTAGTTCCAGTCCGTTTTGGTGGTGTAGGACAGCTGATGGACCTGGCTGTCCTTGTCGTGATAGTAGACTCGGTATCCGGCAGTGCTGCCCAACAGCTCGACGGAGAGGCCGGTGTTGGGGTGGATGTCTGTGACATTTGCCGTGTCTGAGATGGTGTACTCGCCGGCCTGGATAAAGGTGCCGGACTCGGGATCACAGTTGTAAAAGCCGTTCATGATTTTCCCATCGGCTGAGTGCCAGAAGACAGAGGCCTTTTGGTTAAAATGATTAGCAAATATCCCCCGACTGTCAGGCATCCATCACATGTATGCAGATCCTATTATCAGGGCCCAATAATTGATGATAGTATCTCTCTCCCCCGCCATGATCATCACACCCCTCAGAAAATGAAAATGAAAACATGTTTTTACTTACCACCACCTTTTGTGAATCCCACCAGCCCGTGGCCGCCATGCTGCCGCCCTTCTTGGGCTGGTTCGTCGTCTTCAGCACATTGGGAGTCGACGTGGGAAACAGCGGCGCCCCGTCAATCTGGGCGTTGCAGTTGTTGACCCAGATATCGCCCGTCTTGGGATCCTGCGTGCCAATCTGGGCGCCCTTGTCGGGGCCCGGGTAAAAGGCGTACATGGACGTGCCGCTGGCGGTGCCAATGAGGCTGCTGGCCGCCAGCGCAGCCACGCTCCAGCTCCTGGCCATGTTCATGATGATTATGATTATGGGTGATGAGATGAGGTGAAAGTCGATACGATAACGGTATCCCGCAGCTCAAGCTCAAGCAAGCAACGGAACCGCTTAGCTCAGCGTTCCCGCTCTCCGCTCAACAAGGTAGCAAGAGAGGAGGAGAAAGCGGATGGATTACCCAAAAGTATAAAACGAGTGAATCGAAGAGAAGATGGAGAAAGGAGAAGAAGAAGAAAAAAAGAGGAGCAAGAGGAAGCGCGAGAAAGAGGTAGAAAGACTACGAGACAAGAAAAAACGCCCGTCAGATCCCCCGAAAAAGAGCGGTGCCACTAAACTGGGGCAAGCATCAGCATCAGCATCAGCATCAGAAGGGAAGAGAAAAAAAAGGTGGGAGGCGATTCCAAAAGAACAGCTCGGCTAAAGAGAACGGTACGGTCGTCTATTAATAATGACTGGGGCATGCAAGTTATACCCCAAAGCATACAAATCGCTGGCGTTGCCCGTTTTGGCGCGGGACCCCCAAGGCCAATCCGTCAGCCCTGTAAGTATCAACAACGGTCGACGAGGATGCTGTGCTGGGCTGGGCTGTGAGTGTGATGGTATCCTGGAATCCTGCTTGCCCTGCTTGCCCTGCAGAACTGGACCAAGCAAGTATCCTGTATCCTGGAACCTATAATCCAACGTGATCAATCTAATTCGTATCCACCGCGCTGCCAGGCTGTGACCCCTGCAAGTTTGCCAGAGACAGGGGCTGAATGGATTGAGCCCTACTAGGCTAGCAGATTACGAGGCCCAGCTACGGAGGATATCATATTATAAGCTATGGTTCGTCCAACCCCTGGATCGCCGACCTGGCCTCGTTACTGCAGAGTCGTGGGAGCTTTAGCCCGAGTACGGTGGTTCGGGACAACAGTAGTGGTAATCCGTAGTTGGAGTTAGTCTCTGAAGCAGGCATTATCAGATGCTTTTTTTCTTCACTCTTTTGTTTCTTCTGCTTCCGTTTCCGTTTTCATCTGTCTGATTAAACAATCACTGACTAAACTCACGTTACTGACTCAATCTCACAACCCATAACCCACACCTTGTACTCATAGCTTGTGCTTGTGTTATTTTGTCATTTCATGCATATATACAAGTACGCCAGCGCATCCAAATAAAATAAAATAAAAGTGTACATGTACGAGTACACATGTAATCATAATTACCTTAATTAGCCTTGTTTACTTCTCTTTTTTCCCTTTTTTTATTCCCTGCTCTTCTCCGTACACCACTCGCACACCCTCAACAAAAAAAAATTGAGGCTCTGTTTTGCCTAGCCCGGCCTCCAAATCTTTCCCTTGTCCCGCCACACCCGCCGCCTCTCTCCTTTTTCTGCCGCTTTTTTTTCCTCCATTCTCCTCACACGCAATGAGACATTGCTGTCCTGCTAGCAGTACTTTTGGTACAGTCGAACCTGTATTCCATGCTCATGTGGCTTGTACACGCCACCTCTGTGGTACCGCGCTCTCGCCCGCAAAAGACGCCCAGCGTGCCGTATTCCGGTAGTCCCACGTACTCGTCGGCGCGCAACAACCTTCTCCCGCGGATCGGCAAACGCTCTGTCAGATTTTAATGCGCTTTAGCGGCTGCGCCAAGCCCTGATTTTATAATTAGGACCCAAGCCACAGGCTACAGCGAGCCATGACTAAGCCGGTCCGAGCCTAGTCAGCCCAACCAAAGGACCCAAACAGGGACTAGCCTAGAGCCCTATTCTAAATTGTTTTGTTTCTCCAGTCTCCAGGGTAGTCCAGGGTAGTTTCAGGGCCCTCGAAGGATTCAACTGAACTACTGTACTGAGATGCATCTGCTAGTGGCGCGACTGCCGCTGCGGTTGTTTCGTCCCATCTCGCGTGGCTGCAAATTAAAAATAATCTACAATAAAATACTAGTAGTCGCCGACCCCCTTGGCTTCAGTTTCAGCTTCGTGTTCGCCATTTGTTCGGGCATATGCATGGAGGTGACTGATATTTCCTATATCCGGTTGGGCTGAAGGAAGCCTGAGTCAGCTTTGGTCGCCCCCAAAGAGCCTCATAAGCCTACTTACCCGGCAACAGCCATTATTTGTTTGTTCAGAAGAGGGAATTGTATTATTATTTTACTGCTGATTTTCATGATGATCAGTTGCCTAGTATCTATGCATGTTTTAGCCGTGAAATAAGCATATACTATCATTAATGTTGTGCTGAGTATGGGGTAGTAACAACTAGCAAAACAGCAACCCCAAAATACGCACCAAACCAAAACACCAACAAACTCACATCGTTATCAAATCACACACAATTTCAACAGCCTCATCAATCCCCTCCCTATCAAAGACACAATCCCAATCCAAAACACAACTCCCACCACAAACACCGCAAGATAAAACGTCTCAACCGGCCTCTCAACAAACGAACCCGCAAACAACCCTCGTCCACTTCCCTCCCTCTTCGTCATCTTATTCATCTCCGGCACATACTTGAAATCCATCTTCGACAACCTCCCTCCAAGCCCCTTCCTGCTATTCACAATAGCATCATACAGCGTCATCCTGAAATATCGCACCGCAGCCTCGTCAGCCCCCGGGATCCATTTCTGCGCCAGGGCAAGTACTCGCACAAACCAGCAGTGGCCCTTCCAGCAGGCATATGCCAACATCCCAGGCCTTCCAAGGCCCAGAGAATCACTTAGGGCATCGCCGTTGAGTACGCGACTCCCAGCCTCGATGAAGCCCTCCGAGATGTGAAACGGAGCCATGTCCTTCACCGTCTCCATGAGATTGTGTCCGATAATCAGCGAGTTTGCGGTGACGCTCCGTTCGTGAAGCAATAGGCTCTCCATGGTGGCTTTGGCCTGGGCCACGCTCGCGAAATACTCGGTGGGAGTCGCTAAAAGATAACCGACGTAACGGAATAGGGCGATATAGTCTTGCTTTTCTTGTTCTGTTGGAAACACGCCCATCTGCGGCAGCTGAAACCACATCGGATTACACGAATACGTCGTGATGCTATGTATCGAGTCCAGAACATTAACAGGCACTCCATACGTGGCCACGTCGAAATAGTCCGGTCGAGTCTCAACCAATCTGAGGATTCGCTCCCTCACCGCAGAGTGAAGCAATCGAACTCGAATCGTCGTTGTGTGGCCCTGGCCTCCCGGCTGAATCGACTCAAGACTCGACGTGACCTGCAGAAGATGCTGAAACGTTTCCAGCAGTCGACGGACCAGCACCTTTGGTGAGAACCCCCCTGTTCGCATCAAGACCTCAATGACGCCCGGCGCCGCAGAGTTCTCCCCAAAGAAAGCCTGCAGCAAAAAGCCCACCATATTCGCCGCAGCATAGCGGTAGAAGAATTTCTGTCCACGCTCAATCTGCTCCCAGTCCACCCACTCCGGCACCGTATGAACCTCTTTCCAGAGTCTGTCGAGCGTCTCGTCTTCAGTATGATGATCCCGGAGAACGGCATACATGTCGAAGCCACCAGGACAAAGCGTGGGCTTGACCGCTGCCTCTCCCTTCAACTCTCTTGCAATCTGCTGTAGCTTCTTGACGGCATCGTGGCCCAGTGTGTCGTACTCGTGGCGCAGGGGATCGGTCTTTTCTCGAGGCAAATGGAGATCTGTCCACTGAAATGTGTAGTTTCCTACTGTGTGGAATGCCATGGCGGTGCTGACTTGGCGCTTGAACAGATTTCGAGATATACGAACAACACAACTCTGGGCTGCATGGGGGTCAAGGCCTTTTACAACACTCAGATGTGGCTGTTCTCCACGATGAACATATATAAAGCATACCAGTCATATATGAACCACATTTCCAGACAACCCATTGACCCCCATTATGCCCTTACACTAACGAGTCGCAGCCAGCCAACAAACACATCAAGTTCACCCTCAACTGAGCTATACGAAGCTGAACTTCCCTCAGCAGAGCCAACACCACTGTCAACATGCTGAAGATTTGCGTGCACGCAATACTTCTTCAGTGCATACAGAATGAACAATTTGCACTAATGTCATTCATACGCAGTACACAACGCATTGTCGACAAACCAACAATCCGCTTCTCCCTTTTCGCCATCGTCCCAAGTCACAACCAACAGACTTTCACCATCACAATACCGTCCAAACGTATTGTCACAGCCTCTTCGGGCCACGCCGGTTCCATCCCATCTCCTTAGCGCCACCCGATCCCACGTTTCATCCACCCAACAGCCACCAACGTCTTTTCATTCCCTTTGCTCACCTGAGATGCCCACGCGTCCGGATTGAAACAAAAGTCATTCAGTAATAAACTTGAATTGACTGGAAATCACAGTGACTCTCCATACCTATTCAACTGAGACAGCACGTCATCCGTTATGCTCACATGTCACTCCGTGTCAAATTTTTGGAATCAGGAAGCTCTCCTTCAGTCCGACCAACCAATACCAGGAGATAAAAAATAGTTAAAAAAAAAAAAAATTCACGCGTAGATCCTCACCGTCCATTCCTTGGCCGAAGCTTACCGCCACACCAAGATGGAACAATGCTCGTTTTCCAACTTGTTTCCGGATATATCCTTTAATAAGATCCAAGCCGGTGATGATGGCTTCGTGGTTCTCGATCCATCCAACTAACCAATTCCGTAATGCCATCTAGTAGGACAAGAAAATCAGCCCATATCTCAAAATATCCCCTTTGCCCGCTTTTCATTCGGGGCTTATTCGCAGTGACAGTCTATTGAGGAGCCATCCTAAAAATCGGCCCCCTTGGCTGGTGGTCCGTCCTCCTCTAGCATCACCCTGTTGCCCTGTTTGTGGACTTAGCGGTATGGTTGATTCAGTTCATTGTAGTGCTGGAACGGACAATATGTCATGATATATATAGTCCGTATGTCAAAGCTTTGTGAGCAATCATCGTCATATACTCCTCCATAGTAATGAATC